TGTCTGCAAAAGAGCGTTTACATTTGACACAATAACAGACTGAGGCTTTGAAATCTAGGATTCCCCAGGAAAATATGACGTCATACTAATTAGCATAAGGATTTCCCTATTGGTCTGGGTCGAGCCTTGTTCGAAAACACAATCCATAAATACAAGCTAATTTCTAAGGAGATATGAAGTGTATAACGTGTTTATCGATTTTGTTTATAGATTTAATCAATTATCAAATTGTTTAAGTGGATAAAGTGGTCACACTTGCTTCAATTCATAGCGAAATCGACGGATAGAAACTGACCGAATTCCCGATATCCTACCCCGTATTACTGTAGGCTATAAGCACAGTGACCTACAGAGGGCGCTATCACAAACAAGTACTGCACGAACCGATAAATTCCCGGGTATTGTAACGCCCTTGTTACAAGTAGACTAATCTTACTTCATTTTCCTGCGCGCGTAAAGAAGTTGAATACGCGTCTGTAAATTGCACCAATATGATAATCTCATGTAAGAACCTGTAAAATTCACGCTGGGCTACAGAAAATATACAAATCTCACGTCATTTATCTGCGTGCGCATTGAAGTTCACGTTCAAGTTTTGTTAAATACGTGTAGCTTAACCATTCTATTATTTGTCCGAACGCTCGTCATTTTGCATCATTATTTGTCCGAACGTTCGTGATTACATCATTATTTGTTCATGAACATTTTTACTAAGAATCTCGATCCACCCGAATTGCACAATATGTCATTAGATGTAAATTAGTTAACAATTAGGGGTCATTTTGTGGTGTACATTTTAATATAGTAAGTCTAGAAAGCGTCATTAGGATCAAAGTATCTGGCGAGGGATATTATTCCCATATACTATCAACTTTAACCACATCGCATTTATAAGCCAAGGCGAAAAATATTACAATAGCTCTTAGTGTTATTGATGACAATTTCGTCAATAAAACTAGTATAATTGAGAGATATATTTTGTAAAGATAGTTTTATTTTGTAGTTTTCAATGCTTTATGTGGCACATTAAGTGACATTTGCTACGAAGTAGTATGTTGTGGCGAGAATTAATAGAATCTGAGGCCCTTATAGTTCTATTACTACCCCTATTGTGTTCAAGGCGACGATGCGTGAAAACAAATCCAGACAAACGAACTCGATGCAGATACAGATATAATAGTTCCCCTGAATTACAGTCCTCTATCCCTTGAGCCTTATACGCTTAAAGTGAAAGGTGACAGTGGGTTATTTCAAGGGTTGTCCATTCTAAACTGAGGACATTTGAATGTGATTAGAGTGGGCAAATAATTGAATCTTTATTTATTATCGTGAGTTATTATCCTTGGGGGTCAATGAATTATTTATTATGTCAAATTTAAAGAGTTAATAACTCTTATTGCAGTAGACGTGTACCTTCATTTGATTAACATTGTAAAATAATTAAATCTTTATTTATTATCATTGGTTATTAAGATGTGAGGTCAATAAATTATTAACTGCGAATTTGAGATCAATTAATGAGAACTGGTTCCCACAATAAATATTACTGGTTCCCACAATAAATATTACTGGTTTTGCTGGTTAAAGGAACCTGAGATTAACATTAATTACGAGAAAACGATGATATTGTAATGCCTTCTATGTGGCTTCTGTTGACCAGAAACAACAGCTAATAATCAAAATTCAAGCGTCTCTCGGATGCAGCAAGTCTTTTTGTAGATGAGTCTTATTATCCTGACTTCCAATTTTGTCATAATGGATATTCTACTACATTACCTCCTTATTTGGAAAATATGTCGCATTAGATGGAAAGTGCCTTTAATAGTCAATGAAATTGCACAAGAGGGCACTGTGCCCTATGGTTCAATTGCACCACGGGGAGATCCACTGGGGTACTATGACTCAGAATGCAATATGAAACTCTAATAGGTCTCCAAAAGGTCGAAAATGCCATTCCGTGTAGTACTATACCAGTAAAATTAATCATAATCGCCATGTCTCATTTTCCAAGTGAAACATAATGAACAGTTTTATGTGAAAAAATAATATTTATTTCAATCCTATCAAACTTTCTATGAAAGTAATAAAATTAATGAACTACTTATGAAAATGAAAACATTTCCAGTGGCTTTTTACTCATTCCATCATTAGCAAGATTGTATAGATTTGAATATTGGCATTTTCTATATTCTTCTGTCGGGTGTACTCAAAGAGCAACATTGAACGCACTATTTTCATGTTTTAAGATTTGATATTGTAGCTTTCCTACCCTTAACATTCGTTCGAATTCTTAAGAGAGAGTTTCTTCTTGTAGTTTATAACTAGAGACTCTGCGCGCATTGATAGCTTTCCAAGGCCCTTTCACCAATCATATGACTTTGATTGACGAGTCTATATCTCGATATTTTATATAAGATATGCGTTTTCATGAATAAGACGTACGTGTACATGTAATATGCAATAGATTTCTAATTTGCCCCCCTAACGACTTACATGCAAAATGTCAGTCTAAAACCGACGTTATCAAATAAACGTGAAGGTGATCAACAGTGCGATAAGTTGCGAAATAAGTTATTGTCACAAGACTTTTAGAGTTTAAACTTTATTCGAGTTTATAATTTTGACCAGTTAAATGATAGAAATCGGAAAGTATATATTGGCATATGGTATCTGTTATTCACCCTTTGTATTCGCAGTGCTCAGCAGCACCGGTGCGGTTTAATGGTTATTTTCGTTATAAGATTACCCATAACTAGCTTAATATCCCCTTTTTCAAGCCAAATCTGGAATTTATTTTACCTTTCAATATGTTTGGAAACTTCTTTTCATTTTTTAGACAAAGTAAAAAAGCGAAGAAAGCATTAATGCGTATTTTAAGAGTTTAAAGAGAGAATCAGAGATAGCGAGCAGGCTAAACAAAAAATTGTTTCAATTTTAGAATATTTTTGGCTCATGTCATTCCTTGTCATGTCTATTTTCTTAAAATCACAAAAGTGCATACTTTATTCAAGAAAAACGAAAGATTTTAACAATAATGTACAATTTTTCTATAAGAATGGTTACCATTCTTATTATTTGGGAGAATTTAAACATTTTTCACCCATTTTTACACTTTGAATCATTAATAACTTCACCAATTTATAACATATTGTGAATCTTTGGGGAGATATTGTATTTGATATTGTAAGGAATAGATTGGTAGGTCAATTATGCATGTTGCTTATAATTTTATCACCCCCTATAGATCTGATTCTGCCTTTAACATCGTCTAAAAATCTATAGAAAAAATCATGGAGCTTCCGAAAATTCCATGATATCATGAATTCTAAATCTGGCACAAAGGATTTCAATTGAAAAATACCGTTTTTAAACCGCATCGGTGCTGCTGTTGAACCCAGCCGGTCAATGATCGATCGCGCGTATACCAAGGGTGTGATTTTTAAGATTGCTTTTTAACATTTCATGATTTTACACTTCTCATCCTTAGCTGGTAGGATCAGATGAGTGATGATTTCAGTTGGATTTGACATGTTATCTAATTAACTTGAAATATAACCTAAAGTTTGACCACGGATGACCTCAGATGTAACTGATCGTGTCCTATTTACATGACAACTAACATGGAAATTTTGCAATGATTTCTTACACTGATTTTTAAATGATTTCTAACAACTTCTTTACTTTAGTGTCTACTCAGTTGATGCAGAACTTTTCATAAATAATCCACTCGGATTGTATTGTATTGTAAGCTTAAAAGTCGCCATAATTGTGTAATTTCATTGACATTTTTTACATTGAAAGGTACACGTACATTGCAAATTATGAAAAGGTCGCAGATTGGTTTTGATCACATTTGGAATTATCGTCGGCTTAGTCAAGGGTCAATAATAGCAATTTCATTAACGGTTCTTAAACCCTAAATCAATTTTTGTAACCTAAGCTATATAATGACGTCAAAGTAAGACAACAATAAGGACATTTCTGGTATGTTCTAGTCATTAACAGAAACTTTCGAAAAGCTGACATTCTTCACTACAAGCCCATTGCTCCTTAATTAAGAAATCAGTAGATTGCCAAAAAGTGACCAAGAGTCCTTTATTTCGTTTTACCCATATGTTCTAGTCGTTTGGGTAGACTTACGATATCGTCGATCCAATCACGACTTGTAAAATATCCCCGTTTCCTGAGATTGTCCGGTACACTTTGGAATTAATGTTTAAACGTTTAGACAACTGACAGGTATGTTGACAATAAAGAAAATTAGATAATAATACGTTTCCTTACAAAATGTTAACAGGTCCATAAACTAAAAACCAAGAAATTTAAATAAATATATTGCATAGTATCCATTAGTTGTAAGTATGCATTCGATTGTTATAACAAAATAGAACACGAGTGGACGATTATACTTTTATAAACGAAAGTATTACCGTATTAGGTGAATGGTAGAAACTGTCAGCCACATTAATAATTAAGGATATATTTAACGCCACATTCTGTTAAGCTATTTATTAATACACTTCAGGTAGATCATAATGTAAGAATAACATTAAACGGTAACAACCATAAACGAAATGATGATTGAATTTATTGTTATAGTTCCCCAGCAGGTTTAGTAGCTCTGTTTTATCATTTGCGCTCAATTGTTTCTTGTCAGGCATTTGTAAAAAATGATATTAGAGTTTACGCAATACAAACTGAGTGGGCATATTATCTATATTTCTGCTAAATGAAAACTTCACATTTTTATACTTACCTTTTATAAGCGTTTTTTTCATCCGATTAAATATCCTCAGATTAGAATATCTCAAATATCCATTATTTTATAATTATCTAATTTATCGTATAATAATTTTTAAAACATAATTTTCTCGCTAAACAATACTTTAAATAAAAATTCCAAATTATGTTTTTATTATTTTTTAATTAATTATATTCTACCAAATGATCTGTAGTATCAACAAATATAAATTGTTTAGTATTGCATTTGTTGTCCATACCTGTTCCTGGGACTAATCCTCTCTCTGGCCAGCCTGGACCAATCACTTCAAGAAAGACAATAACTTACTAGATTATCGAATATAAACCTGTAATCACGAGGTTTATTGCCAAAGACGCTCCGAACAATCTTAAAGCCTTCGTGCCCTTTACCCTCGCTGTGGATTATAATTTTTCTTGCGGAAGTAATAGAATAGTAATCAGATATTGTTGGCTTGGTAAAACTTCTTACAGTAATTTCCGACCATCACACGGTTGTCAGTGAAGCTGAGTCGAACACTTGTGCTCAGAATGTTTAAATACTTTTCCTCGTCTCTCAATTTCTTCATCGGGTAATAACTTCGGGTTTTGAAACGTGTGGGAAGATGGTTTACTGTATCCATAAACTCGTACTTTAGGATAAATTCACTTGACAGCTTTCAGATGGCCTTTTCTACACGATCATTTCTAAATTGGGGGAGTAGTAGCAGATGATGTGGTATTGGAAACTTCAACCTTAGACCCTGTCTGCCATTAATTGGCGGGTGATATGACGACGAGGTCTTGTTCCTTGTCGTCAGGTGTTTTAGTGTTGTCACGCAAACATTTTCATATCTATACCTAATGTAAATCACCTGGGTACAAATCGGAAACACGGGAATAATAATTCAGTTAGAACAGTTCGACTCCAGTCACACGCGAGACAGTTCTACCTTGATATTAGGTTTTTATTCTTCCTGTCAATGTAGGATATCTATTAATGGCACACAGAAACGGAAAATATATCATCAACTTGTATCCGGCTCTGGGCGTGTGTTCAATCAGACCATACCAAGTCGGCCCAAAGTACCGTAAAGCTGGACAATTGAGATATTTTGACAAGTTTCCCATTCCACCCCGTCATTAACTCTATTATTTGATTAGCACAATCTTTTTGACATCCTATGAGCATGACTGACGAATTACAAGGTTTTAACGATCGCACTATATTAATCAACTGGCAAATAATACGGAAATGAAAGCGTTTAACTGTAACGTCAATTCTTAAACCAAACCAAACAATATAAGGATATCTTTCCAATATCTAACCTCAAACGTCCTTTAAAGATTGGTTATATTATATCCGACAACCATCAACAGATCATCATAACACTACTACTCAATTGACTTCAAAATATATTCTCGTCTGAGATCTCTATTATCTTAAAATACCTTTACCAATACGGGACAAAACTCTGGGATAAAATCTGAGAAAAAATCAAAATTAAAAATAAGTTCTACTGATTCTACCGAGTCAAACTTTATTATGTGTTTATATGTGAAAAACCAAATGATTATGTTTTGAGTGGTATCAAATATCATGTGGTATATGATGATGCATTATCATATATCGGTGTAAATGTTACTTAATATTCAATAGATAACACTAACGATTAGATGCCTAATGAACTGTCAAAATGAAAGAACTCTTAATATCCTTATGAATAACATTAAATGACATTCTAATTACATAAATGACGTCACAATGAATTGAGTTTCAAGAATCGGAGATATATCGAAGGTAGACTCTAATGCTTTTCAAATAGCTGTTTTATAGTTTCTTTTACGCTTTGAAAAGTACATGTATTCCCATGCTCCCATATTTACCATATAAAAAGCACAATAAAGACCTCGTTTCATAGCTTAATGGCAATGTATGACATTGGCTTATATTCTGATCTGCCATTTGCAAAAGATCTCAATCCCTCAATTTCCCGCATACTTGATTGTATTTAAATCGAAGGCATGGTGCAGGCTTTAATGTCATTATGCAGGATAAAAATATGCCCCCCCCCCCTTGTCATTTAGTCCATTGTTTTCATGTGAGAATACGACACGATACGCTACAATACAATCCATAAAATGCATTGCAATACAATATATTACAACATGGACTTCTAATCTAATAGTTATTTGAAGTCCATGATTACAACAAAGTACAGTACAGTTTAGTACAATACAATACAATACAATAAAATACAGTACGATACGATACAATACAATATAATACAATACAATTCAGTACAGTACGATACGATACGATACGTTGCGATACGATACAATGCAATAAAATACAATGTAATACAATATAATACAATACAATAGGGTGACGAATTGACCTGTGGGGAACAACTTAAATATCTTACCAAATGACAATTGAGAATTGTCTACAAAGCCGCCAAGGGCTTCATTAATCGTAATAAAATACCATAAATGCTTAGACTCTTTACACAAAATTCATGCTATGAAGATATTTAACCTTAAATCACTCTTAAATAAACACGAATAACTCAACAATGAGTAGTTTACAAACAGTTGACTACTCTAAACACCATTTAGTTACGTGACAATTTTGATAGGAAAATAAATTCATCAACTTTAATTGCAATTTGAAAGACGAGTGTAAATAGTAAAGTGTTCGCTAAGATTAGTTGAAGTAAGTTTCGACTCCCGACAGGAAATGCATCTATAATTAACCTAGATATATCTGTGAATTTGAGGAATTTTCATGACGTGGTTGTATATCGTAATGCCTCGATGGAAATAAAATTTGGATTGCAACTGAAATTAAATATCATAACTCCATAATCGGTAACCTAATATTTGATTTGACATTTTTGAAGCAAAACAGATTCGGATTTCGCTTACTAATGATGTTGGTGAGTGAACAGCGGGACAAGATGCCATAATAAAATCCAATAGCATCATTTATTGTATTTATACAAAAACCACGAATATCAATATGGGTTTTATGTACTATATTTTGTTATCCTGCTCCAAAGCCTTGTTTTGTCATGTGTCAGTGCCGAGGGAAATAAAGGTACATTAGCTAGGTAAGGAAACAAGCCCTTATGATTGGATCTACCCTCATTAATTAGTTGTCTAAAACACTTAATGACGTGTATTCATTAATTAGATAATTCAATTGCAATATAGGATAGAATTTTCTCATATTTGACAAAACCAATAATTTGAAATGACAGGTATGCAGTATGTTATGGCAATCATTTTGATGTTGAATAGTGCGTTAATAAGACCACATGGAGGTTAATCGGACGCTAAACGGTAAGCCACTTGGGTTTTTTAAGACATTACATCTACCGCGTGGTCCAAAAAGTGGAAGATTGTTTGATCCAACATAAAATGTATCTCTCTTCTAATTTGAAGTACCATTTTAACTGAGCATTGGTTCAGTCATTTGTTATCTTCAGTAACATTTATAAGTAGCTTTAAGTATGGTGTTACCAGATTTGATCATCGAAGACAAACATATTTGAAGTTTGGCCTATTGAAAATTTGTTATGAAGATAGTTTGAAGGAGAATTAACAAACCGCAAATTAAAAGAATCATTTCAAAAAAGAAGCCTGAGTCTGAACATGAGCATGATGTGTTGCATCTATAAACTTTACAGCCAATGCACATTTAAACAAAACATGCTCAGTAAAATTTTGATTTATTTTAGTATAGTATTAAATGTTCTTCATATACAAATATACAACACATATAAGTTCCACTTCTTTAGACCAAGTGAAGTTCCACTTTCTTAGACCACCTTGTATAGTCCTTGTTCAGTCATTACATATTTAATGACATACACACTGGACACCGTTTCATAGTTACGTTTATTATTCTAGCAGCTCGTTCGTTACACTGTTCCCCTCATGAAAGAAAGTTTGTCCTCGGACATGCTGTGATTCATTCGGCAGATATAAACCAGGAGCTCCTGTCTAATCAACCGACACGATTCCAGTCGTCCAGACCACAATCGAGCATCTGTTTTTATGATACTACACATAGTACACGATTTATGACTTTGTATCGGTGCAAACTAAATTTAATATACGGTGCAGGGGGAGAAATCGCAACGTAAGATAATAATGTGCCAATACTCGGTTTCCAAGTAAGTTGTTATTACTTATCAGATTGAGGTTGATAAGCAGTTTCTCACGGCCAAACTCCTCCCAATCAATGACAATGGTGAAAATATAGCTCGCAATTGATATCATAAACTAAAATTGTACCGTTGAAACCAGATTAGGAAAATGTTAATCAATCGGTTAAGTCCTTGATTCGACGTCATCATAATTACGTTATCAGATTTATCACGTTGTGTATTTCGAAGAGTTGACATATGATTAATCGCGAGAAACGTATGGTAGCACTCGAAGAATAGATACGCGTGTGCCTGTCCAACATGTATATATGTCATGCGGTTTATTTATATCCAATAAAAGAAAAAGAAATACATATAAAAGGGGATGACATTCCATTGGGAGTATTATCCACGCAGTTTAAAATTTGATATGAAAAATAAAATTCAAATCCATTCAGAAATAATTGTCCCCTTGATATGAACCTAAATGTTTCCAGAATAATGAAATAATATGGAAAATTAGTTCAATACGATATGCAAAAGAAAGGCGACCCAAAAACATCAAACGCCTTTCATTCAGTTATCCCACCCCCTTCTCCATAGATAGACACATATGACCTAATAACAACATTCCCAATGTAGAAGGGGGGGGTTATACTGACTTAGAATATATTGTCCTGGTTGCCTTACATTTACAAAATGACCCAATCCAACCCTATTTATAATCGAACACCATAAACAATGTTTGCTCCAGTGCACCTTTCAATAACACTGGACTGAAATGCAATAACATTGCGTTAGACATATTAGTGTCATGCTCTTTTTCGATAACCTTAATATTTTTCACTCTAAAAAGCTAAATGTGTGGGACTCATTTCTAATAAATTACTACGACAATGTCTGTATAAGATTTGTGCATTTGTCATTGTGTTTTTTGTCACTCTCGTTTTCTCAGCGTAAAATCGGGAAAGCCTAGCCATGTTCTGTGTTGCCTATTAATTATAACCTCTAGCCTATTTTTGGAATACTAAACAGCATGCCAAATGATCTTGTTTTAAGGTGTAGTATAAAAATGATTATGTTTATGAAATATCCTTCGATATGTTACTTGCACCTCCAATATCTCTGATTTAAGCTTTCATCACCATAATAATAGAAATATGACCAAACTAATTCTCTTTACAAGAACAGACAAGGTGTGTCCGTGTGTTTTCCTTAATTTTGAGTTAAGTTAAAATGTTAAATTGTAATCTTCATTTAATGGAGGAAATAAAGAATATACAATACAATACAATACAATACAATGTGCTACATTTTTATACGTATATTCACTCATGCATGTGTAAAATATTTCCATTAATTCATTCCAGGCTCCCAATGTGATTGCCAATGTGATTTGAGCCTCGATTTGATTTATGTCAGTAAAGGTTATATAATTATTTGATATTCATATCTGAAATATTTTATTCAGATTCAATTTTGCTATTTATATCTGAATTATTCTATTCAGATTCATATTTTGAGCATTTTGATATTGAATATATTTTTGATATA